TCTTCAGATCCATTCAGCACCGGCATGGACGGCAGCGTCAAAGCCGCTGCTTTGATTTCACTACCGCCGATGTCACGCGAAACCAAACCAGGCGGAACTGGCGTCTCAGGCTTCAAATGGAGATGCACCACGGCAAACGCTGCTCTGACCACGGACTCGTCAATCGTGCGGTATTGCAGCAGGTCCTGGTGCGGCTTCAGCTCACTGATAATGTCAGTGGCACTGGTGTGGACAGTCGTGTAGGTACACTGTCCACGGACGCGCCCAAGACTGACTTGAGACTGTACCAGAATCTGGGCACTAGGGGCGGTTAACAAGCCCACGATGGGAGCAGCGTTGGCCGCCACCTGTCGTCACTTGGCCTGTTTCAGGCTTCAGACGGTCATGTTTCGTCTGGTTTCGGGTGGTGTCAGCGATAATGAGGGGGCAGCCGTGGCTGTTTGGGGTATTCACCGGTGCTGTTGTCTGTGGTATTCACTGATGCTCATGTCGGTGGTATTCACCTACGCTCTTGCCTGTGGTATTCACCGACGCTGTTGTCTGTGGTATTCACCGATGCTCTTGTCTGTGGTATTCACCGACGCTGCTGTCTGTAGTGTTCACCGACGCTGTTGTCTGTAGTGTTCACCGACGCTGTTGTCTGTGTGGTATTCACCGACGCTGTTGCCCATGGTATTCACCGACGCTGTTATCTGTGGTATTCACCGACGCTGTTGTCTAAAGTGTTTAGGGACACTGTTGTCTGTGTGGTATTCACCGACGCTGTTGTCTGTGGTATTCACCGATGCTGTTGTCTGTGGTATTCACCGACACTGTCGTCTCTGGCATTCATCGATGCTGTTGTCTGTGGTATTTACTGACGATGTTGTCTGTGTGGTATTCACCGACGCTGTTGTCTGTGGTATTCACCGACGCTGTTGTCTGTGGTATTCACCGACGCTGTTGTCTGTGGTATTTACCAACGCCGTTGTCTGTGTGGTATTCACCGACGCTGTTGTCTGTGGTATTCACCGAAGCTGTTATCTGTGGTATTCACCGAAGCTGTTGTCTAAAGTGTTTAGGGACACTGTTGTCTGCGTGGTATTCACCGACGCTGTTGTCATTTGCCGATGACGAACGAGTGACGATGTTGTGCCGTTCGTCAAGTGGGACACATAATTGGCGGATATGGCAGTTGAATCCCGTTGGCTGGTATTCCAGCTTTTCCAGATCGCTGCCAGCCGGTATCTGAAGGATCTAGCCGACCAATGGGAAGCCAACGATAGCTACCCTTATGTAGTCGACCAATGGGAAGCCAACGATAGCTACCCTTATGTAGTCGACCAGTGGGAAGCCAACGATAGCTACCCTTATCTGGTCGACCAGTGGGAAGCCAACGATAGCTACCCTTATCTGGTCGACCAGTGGGAAGCCAACGATAGCTACCCTTATCTAGCGATTTTAAGCGGTTTACACAATTCTACAATAATGCTGCATAGAAGGCTGTGTCAGTGATGATGTTCGCGGGCGTCGAAGACGGTGCCGCGGGTCAACTGCAGTGACTTCTGCTTAAGGCTGCAGCCCGCCGGTAGATCAGCGTCTTTACTGGCGCGCACCTGACATGCACCAATGCGCATCGACGTACCATGCGTGTTCATTACAGTAACTTCATGAGAAAGGGATGTAACAGAAAGGTTTGGCACGTGATTTTAGCTCAAGAGGCTTCCAAATTCTATGCTCTTGGTCGAGGTCAAACAGAGGATGGAAAGGTCAAATTAACGCCAACGTGGGTTAAATAAATGAAATGTGCTCGCGTCGCATTATATACGCCCCCCCCCCTCCCCCCACCCCTCACCAGCTTTCGTCGCCAGGATTTGCTTCATAGCCACCCTGGCTCAGTTTGGAATATGTTTATTTCCAGGCACCACTATTTCCCCCCCCCAAAAAAAAAACCAAAAAAAACCTGCTCCCTTCGGTCAGGTGACACACCTATCTGTTATTATGGTAGACAAATACAATTTTATCAGCATGATATTGGGGTACGAAGACGCTTTGTAGGGGGTAGGCAACCCCATAACCCCCCATGGGGAAGGGTACGCTTTGTTTGATCTCGTCTCGTCGTTTGTTGTCCATCTCTATGATGATGTTCATTTGTGTAACGCCTTGCTGGTACTCTATGGGCGGAAATAGCTTAAAACAGCGAATCTTAAGCTCTGCCTACCTACTAAACATACATAAGTTTGAGCACAAAAAAGATGACGCCATTGAAGTTGCCTTGAACTGGGAGACCAGACTAGCCCTGAGCACCCGTACCTTATTTTTAGGTGTTGTTTTGTGATACGCTTCTGCGCGCGTGCTGTTGTTGTTGGTGGCCATCTTCACCGGTGCGTCCCTGGCTCCCCCGAGCTGCCGCTCACTGTGCGCCAGCACCACCGGCCGCCGGTGCCGCGCCGACCGCCGGCCGCTGCTCACTCCGTTGCGTTGTGACCTCCCCAGCCGCCGAACGGCACCGCACAGGGCGCCAACAACAGCGCCGACAAGCAGGGCAAGATCAAACAGCTGCTGCAGGGTATCCGCACCCCGTTCCACCGGCTGCGCATCTTCCAACGAGCGCATCTCCGCCTGCTGCGCCAGTCTCGAGTTCACGCCCATCGACGTGAGTGGCTCGGCGGCGGCGGGACTCTGGCTGAGGACGCCCCTTCCTTCCCCCCCCCCCCTCCCCGGCGGCGGCGGGGCTCTGGCTGAGTACAGCCCCCGCCCCCCTAAGGCACTACCATTCCGTGGTGGCGGGGGAGGGGGGGGGGAGGATTGCCTGCTCCAATGCTGCGGTCGGTCGGGGAGGCTTATAAAGCGCCTCTTGCGGTCAAAGAGGAGGAGCCATACTAAACGTGCCCGCCGCGAGGGCCCAGCCTTCGGGCAGGGTAGCGATTAGGACCTCCTCGGCCGCAGCTTTCGATCTTATTAGGGTTGCTGTGCCCCGTTGTGCCCCACAGCAATGATGAAGGGGTCCTGGGTGCCGAGGTGGCCGCTTCGCGGATCAGTATTGGCGACCACCAACACTCACCTTTCACCGGAATTTGTCCACCTGTTGACGCGCCGTGCTGGCTCCGCACGCACGTAACCGGCCTGTCTGGCGCCACCTTTGTGCGGCACTGACTAGGAGCCGCGCCAATGAGTGTCAAGGGGGGCCGCCGGCCGCATTGTCCGCGTGGTGTTTCACCTGTGGGGTCGTACCCAGGCTCACTCCAAGCAGGCGCTCGGTCAGCTTGTCGTGAGTCGAGGCACTGGCTCCGGCGGACCCGTACCCGGCAGCCCCGCAGCGGCACTTTTGGCGCTCCGGCCGCGTGTGGCGCGCCCGTGGCCCGGGCGGCACAACAGGCGCCCGCTGTGCCATTCCCTTGCTGGGCCCGGCTATGGTTGGGCAGCGGGCGCGCTGAATCCTTTGCATCACCAAACTGTGCTAACAGCAAACCTTAACTCAACCACCACCGGTCCCTTTGGCGGGGGCCTAGCATCTCCGCAACCCCCCCCCCCCCCCCCCCCCCCCCCCGGTCAGGAGACGGAGGTCGTTCGCAAGGACGATGGACAGAATACAGGCATGCCACTCCCCGAGGCGGGCGGGGTTCTCGCGGAGAACGGCGGGTCTCTCGCGGAGGATGGCCGGCCTCTCGCGGAGAACGGCGGGGCTCTCACGGAAGATGGCGGGGCTCTCGCGGAGGATGGCGGGGCTCTCGTCGAGGATGGCCGGGCTCTCGCGAAGGATGGCGGGGCTCTCACGAAGATGGCCGGCCTCTCGCGGAGAACGGCGGGCTCTCGCGAGGATGGCCGGCCTCTCGCGGCTCTCTCGCGAAGGATGGCGGGGCTCTCGCTGAGGACGGCGGGGCTCTCGCGGAGGATGGCCGGGCTCTCGCGGAGGATGGCGGTGCTCTCGCGGAGGACGGCCGGCGCTGGTGGGGAGCGTCGGCCGTCTGCCCGTCCTCGATGCCGACGGCTGCCGTCCTCAACCATTCCAGGCAGCCACTGAGCCCTCCCTCCCGCTGTGGCTGAAGCTGCAGATTGTGGCATGCACATGTCGTTGCCGATGACGGCCTGGTGGTAGCATCTGGCACCCACACCCACCCCACCCCACCCCCCCCCTTCTTTCGTCTGACAGGGATTGATTCCGTACAAGGATGAACCGGACAACAAACTGGACGAAAAGAAAATCTCCGAGCACTACCGGCAGGCCATGGAAGAGTACAACAACGAGGTGAAGGAGGTATGTAGATGGCGGGACGAACCTACCTTTACATCGTGCGTTTGATTGACATTGTCGTGTGGAGATCATGTTACAGCTTAAACAGAAGTATTGCTTGATTTAGTATTACTTAGTTTAGTTAGAAGTGTTTTTATGCCATCCAGCCCTTCACGTCCATGAATGGCACCCATTGTGTTCGTGAACGGGAGCTTATGACCACATGGGTGGTGCTGCATTATGTACGTACGTTATGTACTACGTATACGTTATGGGCCATACATGACCGCGCATTCTAGGCGCTCTAAAGCCCCAATTACTACTGCTACTACTACATGAGTGGCGCTCATCCGGGAGTGCCGGCCGGCCGCCGAACCCGTCCTCTCTCCGTCGGCAGCAGGTGCAGCTGCGCAGCCGCTACCTCAAGGAAGTCATTGACCAGCTGCGTAACATGGTCTGGGACGTCAACACCGTGCTGGCCATGCGCTCACCAGCCCGAGCCGGCCGGCGCGAGACCCGGTGTGGCAGCTCCGGCGAGTGGCGCCTCGGTGTCGCCTGTGCCCATCAGTGTACTCTGTGTGACGGGTGGGCGTCCGCGCGCACCGGCGCGGGGCCTACTGGGTACGCACCGGCGTGGGGGCCTACTGGACACACACGGGCGTGGGGGCCTACTGGAGCTGTCTGGCGTGCGTTGTCACCGCATTGTATTTTATACATACCGAGGTATTGTAAATAAACACGGGAAGTTGACGATTCTGTTTTCGAAGCCGCCCGCACACGCGCTGGGTCAGCTCACAGTACACATGCATTCACTGTGTTCAGTTGAGAGGCGGGAGGATGCCAGCCTTGTAGGCACCTGAGCCTCTCTCGTCCGCGCTGGATCGCTCAGCCGTGTACCTGTTCCACCTCCAGAAGGTCAGACACTGGCTACCAGCTTTGACCGCCCAGAACATTATGACGCACGCACGCGGATTACCCAAAGAGCACGACCCTCACCACCGCTCAGAGCAAGTGACACCGCCACCGGGGCCCCTATGGAGCGCGCGACGGCCGCCACTGGGATCGCTCCGCGCAAGTGACTCCTGGGAGCCTCCCGAGCAGGTGATTCCTGGGAGCCGTTCAAAAGGCACTGGCGCAAGCAGAGCTGCAGAACACCTTGCTGTTGACGCAGATGAAGTTGGAGTCGACGAGGCCAGCGCGGCAGGTGAAGCAGTGGAAGCACTCGGCCGTGGCGTGCCAGAACATGTAGTCTCCCAGGCTGACCCGCTGGCCGTCGGGCGCGATCGGTCGGGAGCAGGTCACACACGTCTGCCGGCCGGCGCACAGGTCAGGTGGCGCGTGGGAGCGGCGCCGGCCGTCCTGCGGAGCCCTGCGGCGCACGCTCGCTAACGCAGCCCTCGGCTCGCAATTCAGGCATGTCGTGGCATTATTCTTACTATGCGATTCATGCATCAAGGGCGGACCCAGAATGGAGGACCATGCCCCGTCTCCCATCCCCGCCCCTCTCTTGGCGCCCATGTGGTTTTGGTGCCCCGGAAAATCAATAAAATTTGATGATCAAGGGACACCAAATCCTTCATTTGGCAACCACATAACCGCCATTTTCACCACTTCGGGCCACAAATATTTGTTTTCGTGTTACCAAATTCCAGGGGCAGCGCAGTGCCAGTCACGTGTCCCTTAAAGGGTCGGACTAGATCGGCCCATTCGGCGAAGAAGCGCCAACACTTCCATTGCGGGCACCATCATCTTTACGTTAAGGATGTACGAAATTCAAGTTGCCCAAAGGGCCCAAACCCATCGTGTTCAAATATAATTTCCAGAGGACGCCGCGACACCCGTGCCCCTCTTTTGGCGAAGTCTTGGATCGGGACCTTGGCGAGGGGCACCAAAGCGTTGATTTCGTGGCAACATTATTTTTTCTCAGGGGCACCAAATCCAAGCGAGCCATTGAAAGGGATCCAAGGCGTTCAATTTTAATGGGCACTACAATTGTTTTGCCCTCCACCCTGCTGCAAGCTTGGATGGGCGCCTTCGGCAAAGGGATGCTAAAAACCTTTATTTCGGGAAATCATAACCTTTATTTTCAAGAGGCACCCAATTCCAGGGGGCATGACAAAGAGCTCCAAAATTTTCACTTTCAAGGGACAAAATATTTCAAGGGAAGCCAAAAATGGCTCCGGAATCTTCACTTTCACGAGAAACTGAAGTCAAACGGCAACACAATCAGGGGGCACAGGCACGCACTCCACCCCACGCCCGAGCTCCGAGGGCAGGCCGGAAGTCACATGAAGAGGCTTCAGCCCGAAGGCCGGGCCCTAAATTGTTAAGAGGCCGAATGTCAGTTAGAGGGCCTCTTGCACCAACCGGGGGCCCATAAGACAGCGAGGGCCTCAAGGTCAGGCAGCTGACTGAGACCATCAATGTCGAACGGTTCCGTGTTGGTCTGTACCCTAGGGGCCTTTTCCCATGCGGAGGCAAGGCCGGGACCTGTAGATGTCGACCAAATGCCCCTTGCATTGGTCGGGGCCTCTGAAACTGTGAAGAGCCCCTGTGCTGGTCAGGGCCCACAGTGCATAGCAGACGGCTCTGCGTCGACAATGACCTCCAGTTTGACCAGCGGTACATTCCCTTGAACATGGACAGGGGCGGACCCTGCACGCCAAAGCGTCCCCTTGCGTTGGTCGGGCCCTCTTGACGTTAAAAGGAGATGTACCGAACGAGGGGCCGTCCGCACCGCCTTTACCAGCGGCCGATGAGCCGAATGGTGGTCAATTGGTGAACTCCCTGCGCCGGCAAGGAACCCTTCAGCAGCAGCAGCCCCCGCATCAATCCGGCGCTAGATGTCCCGGCCATAGGGTCTGGCGCATCGGGGAGGGGGTCGGTGTGTGATGTATCCCTTTAAGGGATTTGTATCGACCAGGGGGATGCTGTCCCTGTGTCGCCAGAATGGCAAGAATGATGGATTTTACACAAAGAACGAACTTTTCCGGGCGAACTAGGGTGGAGAGTCAACGCAAATGTTTAACCTTGTTTCGATCTTTGGCCGACGCGGGTACGCAATCCACGAGCCCCTCAATAGCTCTGCAAGTCTTCAAGAAAATCTGGTAACTCTCCTGACTGTTATCGTGTGTAGAGGGTGAATTGAACCATTGTACGGTGCATAGCGCCCGCGGTTTATACATGCATTTAAATACTGCTTAATTTAATTTCGTTTACGTGCTAATGCATGTCACATTGCATCTTCTGCTGGGCTCTGGTTTCACTTGCAGCCAAGGCCCAACAGAAAAAGGGAAAAGAAGCTATCTCTAACTAACGAGTGCTAAACCCAGTGGACGATGCCGCCGCAAGAACTGATTACAACACAAAAGCCTAAAAATAAAGTGGCCAAAATCCGGGGACTTCTTAGGTGGGTTCGGGGGGCGGCATTAATTTCTCGGGGACACCGCAGGGAGGCGTGGTCCCTCCCTTGACGAAATCCGGGATCCGCCCCTAATTACCACCATGGTCCGCACACAATCCGGAGTGCGCTTCAGATACGACAAACGCAGAGGTGCCGGGTCCGCGGCCCCTTCATTTGGCTCCAAGCAACATTGTGGATGAGGCCGTGGCGCCGCGCCGGCGTCGGCCCGGCTGCTAGTCCCGCGCCAGCGTCGGCCCGGCTGTCAGTCCCGCGCCAGCGTCGGCTCGGCTGCCAGTCCCCGCAGCGTGCGCCGGCGTGTCAGCGTGGCCGGCGTCAGTCCCGCGCCAGGCGGGCTCGGCTGCCAGTCGGCCGCGTCGGCTCGGCTGTCGGTCCCGCGCCAGCGTCGGCTCGGCTGTCGGTCCCGCGCCAGCGTCGGCTCGGCTGTCGTCCCGCGCCAGCGTCGGCTCAGCTGTCAGTCCCGCGCCAGCGTCGGCTCGGCTGTCGGTCCCGCGCCAGCGTCGGCCCGGCTGCCAGTCCCGCGCCGGCGTCGGCTCGGCTGTCGGTCCCGCGCCAGCGTCGGCTCGGCTGTCGGTCCCGCGGCGGCGCCGGCCCGGCTGTCAGTCCCGCGCCAGCGTCGGCTCGGCTGTCGGTCCCACGGTGGCGACGCCAGGCGCACCTTGCCGTGGCGCTGCTGGTAGCAGGGCAGGCAGAGCGGCGCGTCTTCGCGCAGCACGTACTGCCGGCCGCCCAGCGGCTGGCCGCAGGCGCCGCAGCAGAAGTGGCGCGTGTGCCAGCTGTGGCCGGCCGCCTCCGTGAACTGGTGCGAGAAGATGAGCTCGTCGCAGGCCGGGCAGCGGCCCAGCTGCAGTCGCTCGGCGTAGTGACGGCCGCAGAACACCCGGCCCGACTCGTAAAAGTAGATCAGGTCCACCAGCAGCTCCTGCGGACGGTGCGGTCGGCGTGAGAGCGGGCAGGTCCGAACGGACCGCGCCGCGCTGTCGCCGGCGTCAGACACGACAGCGCGGCTGTTACACGCGCAGACTGCGCGTCCGAGTCCGAGACGGCTTTACCTTGCGTCTCACCTGGCATGTGGCGCAGACGAAGCACTGCGGGTGCCAGCATTTGTTGGCACCGGCGCGCTCGGCGAACACGGCCACATCGCCGGGACGCATGGCGGCGCGACACTGATGGCAGCACCAGCGGCGGCGCGCGTCCCAGCCGGCCGGCGCCGGCGTCCAGGGCGCGGGCGGCGCCGAGCCGCGCCGTTGCCGGCCGGCCGACGCCGGCGGCCGGCCGCCGCCCAACGAGCTCAGGTCGCCGGCCGAGGTGGCGGCGGAGCGGGGCGGCGCCGGCCCCGGCCGCGGCGGCTCGGCCGAGGTGGCGGCCAGGCCCTGCAGGCCGCGGAACGCCTGGTCGCCGGTGATGGTGACCTGGCCGCGGCACAGGCCGCCGCTGCTGGTACCGCCGGCGCTGCGGAACGGGCCGCGCGGCGACGTCGCCGGAGGGCGGAGCAGTCGGCTGTCGGAGAGCGGTCCGGCGCTGCCTGCCAGCTGGTGCCTGGGCCGCCGCCGCGCCAAACCCAAGGTTACCATCCAAATACTCTTCCAGCAGCGTTCCAAGTTTCGGCCACTTGGGTGCCAAGGACGCCAATATTTTTCCACGATATTTCATGCTAGGTCCAAGCATCGGTCAAGTGTCTACACATGCTCGCCTACGCGCTTGGCCTCGGCTTAAGCCACGACTCTCGTGAATACAGACACTGGCGTGCGAACCACAGCGCCTGCACTAAGCTGGACGTAGCAAACGAGCCAACCAGGCCCAAATCCAGGTGGCCGGCCATCAGTCAAGTTTCCACCTACAGATGGCGCTCAGCTGACCTGGCTGACTCGACGTAAGCCACGGAGCTGTCCGAGGGTAGCAGGCCACGACTGACCGCCGAAAGGTGTGTCGGCCGCCGCTCTCCCGTCTCCGGCCCGGGCCCGTAGGAGGCCGCGTCCGGCCACTGCGGCACCGGCGGCAGCAGGCCGGACGGCGCGTGACTGCCTGCCGGGCCACGGGACATGCCGTCAGTGCAGGCCGCACACAGACACCCGCAGCCGGGCCGCGTCCTCGCGGCTGCTGGGACGGAGTCAGACAGCGGCGCCAGGGCGCGTCCTGACTGCGCCGCCGGTCGGCCGGGGCGGCCACTGACCTGTGTACGGCGGCGGCTGCCGCTGGCCGCCGGTCACCACGCTGGCAAAGAAGGTGGGCTGGCCGCCCTGCAGCCGCGGCCGCGCCGGCTCAGCGGCCGGCCGCCACGACGCGGGCGCCCCTGGCGGCGAGAGGGTGCCCCACTGCAAGGCCGACAGAGACCGGCAGCGTCACACTCCGGAGACGAGCCGACCGTGCCGGGGGCAGGCCGGCTGCGAGAGCTGGTCCAACGTTAGACCTGGACCTCGACACGTATCGGGGTTGCAAGCACCTGCGGAAATAATCAATAGCAAATTTGTTCCTGGCTGTCAGGAAAACGTGTTTCATGAGATACGCTGACTTTTATATCACGTAATCGGAATTTAAGCTGCAAACAAACGCAACTACATACAGTGATATACACAAAAATCTCATGAACTGGGAGCGTCACATAACTCACTGCATTTCTCGGTGTAAGGCTGTGTTGGTATGGAGGCTCTTGGTATGAAGGAAATTCACAGACGATTCCTTGACCGACGGCGTTCTGCCGCACGCTCTGCACATATGACCGCATTCTGCCGGGAAAGGGGCCGGCGGCAGGGCCCCCAATGCGTGAACACTAGGAGGGCAAGATGCCGGACCGCGGTGATGAGCAAGATTCTAGCTAGACTCTTGCTTCTTGATGACAATGCGCACATGAAGCGCCGAATCATTTTCAGGTTTAATTGGGCTGAGTCAGAACGTGTTGTTATTATTTAGATACCTTTCACCATTGGATGGCGTTACTCCACATCCAACCGTGAAAGACGCACGGGCATATCAGCCCAACGGGACGTGTGGCTAGAAATGCATCCCGTGGCTGAGTGTGCCATTGACTGAGTATGAAATTTACTTAACTTTATCACAATGTGGGAGCTGTCTCTTCAAAGGGTGGATACAATAGACCAACAGGCGGTAACATTCGTGGAAATTGACCAGTAGGCATGACCTTAAATCTAATAGCTTGTTACAAAGTCCTCCAGTCTCACCATCTTCCTCGGCCATTATTCTCAGGGTGTGGGAGCCATTGTCTCGGCGTCTATGTTAATCGCGTGGCGGCTTAACCTTTTGGTCCTTGCACTACCCAAGAGGCGATACCTCCACCGTCCGCCCGGCTTCTGCCTCCGTACTGTCGCACTGCTTCCGTCCTCAGTCTAACCTCGCTGGCTGCGGGCCGCACACCAGCGCCTCCGCACCCACCGCCACGAGCCCACTGCCAGTCGGACACCTGCCTGGCTGGCCCGGATGTGTCCGCCACCAGTCTGACCTGCGCTCATGCCCTCTGCGCGTATCCCCGCAGCGGCCACGCCGTTGCCCCGACCTGTCAGCTTCGGGACCTCCGCAGCGGGCCTGCCAGCGACTGTCGTCCAGGTCCTGCGGCGGCAGCTGTGTCTGCAGGCTCCGCTGGCGCAGTACGGCGCCGCTGGTGCCGCGGATCGGCACCCGCTCGGCCGGGATCTGAGAAAGGTACCTGCACACCTGCCGCCACATGCGCGCCAGGTCAGCAGAGGTCGGCTGATGCGCGAGGTCAGCGCTAAGGTCAGTCGCTCACTCGGCCCGCGCGAAGCCCCTCAAAACCCCTGCAAGGTCCTAAACGGAGTACGGGTGGCCAAACGCTCCCAGCTCTGGTGACGAGACTACAGCAAGTGAATAAAGCAGGGCGTGCCAGTGCCTGGAGGCATGGAGCCAGGAGGATGTGAGCCGCACGCACCAGGTCTGGCGGTGCGCCGGGCGGCACCCACTCCAGCTCCGCCGTCTCGCGCAGGGGACGGCGCAGTCCAGAGCAGTCTGCAGCGAGAATCAGTCGCCCGGTCAGTCACCGTCACAGCGCAGCACACTACCCGAGCCACGTCTGATGACACAGAACCATCTAGCCCGGGAGGTAACGAGACGCAGCGATAAAGCACCGCACCGCTTGTAACGCCTCTGACTCACCACACCACACCACGACATACCGCTCGTAACGCCTCTGACTCGCCACACCACACCACGACATATCGCTCGTAAAGCCTCTGACTCGCCACACCACACCACAACATATCGCTCGTAACGCCTCTGACTCGCCACACCACACCACGACATACCACTCGTAATGCCTTTGACTCGCCACACCACACCACGACATACCGCTCGTAACGCCTCTGACTCGCCACACCACACCACGACATACCGCTCGTAACGCCTCTGACTCACCGCACCACACCACAACATGCCGCTTGTAATGCCTCTGACTCGCCACACCACACCACGACATACCGCTCGTGATGCCTCTGACTCACCACACCACACCACGACATATCGCTCGTAATGCCTCTGACTCGCCACACCACACTACGACATACCGCTCGTAACGCCTCTGACTCGCCACACCACGCCACGACATACCGCTCGTAACGCCTCTGACCAGGGACAAATCCAAAGGGGGTCACGGGGCCATGGACGCCCTGCGCCCCGAGGGGCCCATTGGCTCCAAGGGGGCACATGGTCGGCCGAGCAGGCGCAGTTTTTTTAACCCAAACGAAACAAAACTGGGTATCTCTGAACTTTTAGGCGACCAAGAGCAGTTATCAGCGAAAGCGAGGGGTCTATGAAAAGTTTTAAAAAATCAATGGTTAGACAATTTAACTTAAATTTTTGAACTTAAACTTAACTTAACTTAACTTAACTTAACTAGCGTGAACTTAAAATGTTAAGCCTCATTTCACTGCCTAGGGGCCCCACGCCGTTTCCGCGGGACTTATATGCCTACTTGCAGATGTCCGTGAAGTTAGCGATTTATTCAGCGATTTATTCTGCGACTAGTATCGATTTCTCTGAAAACAGGTCGCAGTGTCAATTGTGCCACGAGAACACCAAAAATAACCCCTATTTTGCAATATCATGTAACGTTCAATGTCGAAAGTTAGATCAAATGACGGGAACTCGATATCACTCGAAAGAAACTACCGGACGATTTTCAACTTGCAGACGTCAGAGTATTCACCACAGAAAAAACTAACGTCCGTCAGAAAGTCCTGACATGTCAAGGTCACCCATCAACGTCAAACACGGGCTTAAAGGACGGGAAACTCGATATCACCCAAAAATTACCGGTCGATTTGAAAATTATCAGCATCAAAATATTGACAGGCGTAAGAGCTAGCGTTTGTCAAAAAGTCCTGACATCTTAAGGTCAACTTTTAAGGTCAAACGTGGGCTCAAAGGTCGGGCAACCCCATATTGCCCAAAAATTGCCGGCCCATTTTCAACTTACAAACATCAGAATATTTACCACAGAAATAAGTATCGTCCGTGAAAAATTCCTGACCTCTGAAGGTCATTTTTTCAGGGTCAAACATGGGCTCAAAGGACGGGTGACTTTATATCATCCAAAAATTCCCGCCCGATTTTCAACTTGCGAGGGTCAGGATACGCCATCCCCACAAAAATAACTAGCATCCGTGACAAAGTCCTGACCTCACAAAGCCATTCTTCAAGGTCAAACGTGGGCCCAAAACACAGAAAACTTTATATCACCCAAAAACTACCGGTCGATTTTAATCATTCAACTGTCAGAGTATCCACCCCAGAAAGAACTAGCGTCCTGTATACTCTGACAGTTGCAAGTTAAAAATTGGTCGGTTTGTTTTTAGCGATGTCGAGTTCCCCTCCCTTGAGCCCGTGTTTGACCTTGAAGGGTGACCTTGAGGTGTCAGGACGGGGTGTCGAGTTTCCCGTCCTTTGAGCCCGCGTTTGACTTTGAAAGATGACGTTGGGAGGGCAGGGCTCTCCGACTGAGGCTAATTTTTTCTATGGTGAATATTCTGATGTTCGTAAGTTGAAAATCGGCCGGTATCTTTTTGTGTGATATCGAGTTCACCGTCCTGTTCACGAGTTCACGGACGCTAGTTCTTGCTCTTGTGAATATTTGAATGCCGATAGTTTTCAGATCGGCCGGTAATTTTTGGTTAATTTCGAGTTCGTCGTCCCTTAAGTCCACGTTTGACCTTTAAGGATAACCTTGAGAGATCAGGGCATTCTGATAAACGCTAGTTCTTTCTGCGGTAAATACTCTGAGAGCTGCGACTTGAAAATCGGTCGGCAATTTTTGTGTGATATCGAGTTCCCCGTCCTTTGAGCCCGCGTTTGATCTTGGAAGATGACCTTGAGAGGTCAGGACTTTTTGACGGACAGGCGGACTGATGCACAAGCACTCTTGTGCAAGTGAAGATTTTGATACTCATAGTTTTCAAATCGGCCGGTAATTTTTGGCTCATGTTGAGTTCCCGTCTTTTCCGTCTTCTGAGCCCGTGTTTGACCTTGAAGGGTGACCTTGAGATTTCAGGACTTTTTGACGGACGCTAGCTCCTGCACTTGTGAATATTTTGATGTCTATAGTTTTCACATCAGTCCATAATTTTTGACTGATATCGAGTTCCCGTCCTTTGAGTCAGAGTTTGACCTCGAAGGGTGACCTTGAGATGTTAAGACTTTCTGACAGACACCAGTTCTCTCTGTGCTGAATATTCTAAAATTTGCATGTTGAGAAGCTGCCGGTTATTTCTGGGTGATATCGAGTTCCCCGTCCACTGACCCAGCTTTTGACCTTGAAGGTCACATGATATTGCAAAATGAGGTTCAGTTTTGGGTTTCTCATGCCACAATTGACCCCATAATCTTTTTTAGAGAAATCAGAACTCGTCGCTGAATAAATCGCTAAGTTAACGGACGTCACTTGCATGATCATTTCGATCATTAAAGAGCATTTCACGTTGCCCTTCACTTCTTTGCATTTGCTCGGAGGCCCTGTGCTGCTGTTGGGGCCCTTCCTGTTAGCGTGCCGGGGCACTCTTGTCAATCACCGGCCCTTCCACGGATTCTTTCCATTTGCCAGAAAAGCTCTGTGAGCTATAGCCGTGGTCCCATATCTTAACCTGCCAGGGTATTCTCGGTTGCTCAGGGGCCCTTTACGTGGGTCTCGGTTAACCTACCGACACACTTGCGATATGCTCATGGGCCCCCTACATTGGTCTACGGCGTTTCTCATTCTCTGTCACTTGCTAAGGGTCCTATACTCTTGTCGGGGGCCCATCAGATGGCCTGCTTGGGCACACCGAGTTGTTCGGGACCCTCCACGATGGGTGTTGGGTACTTCTTTTCTGAATGGGGGCCCTACGCTCTTGTGGGGCCCTTTTTGTTAACCTGCTCGGGCACACTCGATCATTCGAGGGTCCTCTTCATTGGGTCTTGAGTACTTGCTATGTCAATGGAGGTCCCTACGCTCTTGCTGGAAGCCTTATATGCTAACCTGCTCTGATGCACTGAATCATTCGGGGTTCTCTGCGTTGGGTCTTGAATACTTCCTGTTTGATTGGAGGGCCCTATATGCTAACCTGCTCGGGCGCACTCGATTGCTAGGACACTACACATTGCGTCGTGAATATTTCTTATTTGAATGGGTTACCATACGTTCTTGGCGGGCCTCATCTATTCAGTTGCTTCGGCCGGTAGCGAATGCAGAGGGGGGGGGGGGGGGGGAGGGAGAGGCAAGGGACCATCCCCCATGGACCATGCCGAGGGTACCTAAAGGCTCCAAAGGGGCCCCTAACGGACCGGACGGACGCAGTTCTCTTAGAACAAAAAGTGCAACAAATTTGGATGCCTTTGGGCCTACAGACGACCAAGAACCATTGTTAGCAAAAGTAAAGAGTTCATAAGAAGGCGAAGTTCATTCTTCACTGATTGAGCAATTGTTGCTTGGGAGAAATCTTGGAGCTCATTGCGATGTCTAGAGGCATTACGCTGTTGGTTGTCTGACCCTATATGTCAACTTACCGGGTCAACCTGATCGCTAAGGAGCTTTCCACGTTGTTCTTGATCTCTTTGCATTTTCTCGTGAGGCACAATGTGCTGCTGGGACGCCGTCTGTCTCCATGCCTGAGCACTGTTGATCCATCAGGTTTTCCTCCACGGATTCGTCTCATTCGCCCGAAAGGCTCTACGCACTTTTCCGGGGTCCCATATGCCAGGCTACGTTCAGCTGCTCAGGGGTCCTTCGTATAAGTCTCGGGGTTTTTTTTCTACTTGCTTGGAGGGCGTTGTGCTGTTGCTAGGGCTCTTTTAAGGTAAGGCACAGAGACACTCGATACTCAGAGGCCCTCTACTTTAATCGAGGGCTCTCTCCCTTTGGTCTCATTTGCGGAAGACTCTTCGCTTCTATCGAGGTTTGTGTTGTCAACCTGCCGTGCACTCTTGATCGCACAGGGGTGGCTTCATGGTCTTCATTCATGGTCTTGGCTAATTCCCCTTTGCTCGGAGGGTACTGTGCTCTGGGGCTTGATATGTCAGCCTGCCGGGGCACCGCCGCTCGTTCAGGGGCCCACCACGTTGGTCTTGCGTTCTTTTTGCTTGCTCTGAGGTCCCTGTTCTTGTTGACGGGAGCCACTTTATTGACCTGCGGAACCCACGATCGCTCAGGCTCCGTCCCTATTGTCCTTGGTGCCTTCGCCTTAAAGCAGCAGTCGGATGTGCGCCGATGAATTTTACGCGCAATTGCCGAACGTAAGTTGACATGCCGCCGACGTCGTATGCGTCATTTCCACAGGCTAATGAGCGTGTGACACTTATTTTACTGATGCATCATATTCTTAACATATTTTGAATGCTTTGGTATGTTGCACTCCTCAATAACAAAGGACAAATTTTGCATTTGTCACCAGCCATCAGCTGATTACATCGCCCAGCCGGCTAGCCGTAAATACATAAGCTCCGAATCAAGTCCATGCTTGGTTTTGATGGTTGTTAGTAGCCAACCCAAGTCTACTTTGCCTGTTGTTCCAAAACACTTGGCCTCAAAATCACAGCATGTGAAGTTATCTGCAGAAAAGAGTGAGCACTATGTGTATGCATGCATAGCACACCTATGCTTTATAGGGCTGTGCACAGTAAGACGGGTTTCTATATTTATGAAATGAATGAAGAAGTAAAGATATACGTACATACATACATACATATATGTATATATATATATATATATATATATATATATATATATATATATATATATTACAAACTTGTATTAAAATTTAATGACCGAAATGCGAGGATATTTTTGGGAGGGGACCCCAAACCCTAGAGGGCCCCACAATGTCCCGTGCATCCCCCCCCGCCCCCTGAGAAATTCTGGATCCGCCCCTGCCTCTGACTCGACATACCACACCACGACATACCGCTCGTAACGCCTCTAGACTCGCCACATCACACCACAACACACGCACCTTCCTCACCGAGTTACCACAACACATCAATGTCCTAGCAAAACAGCTAAAACCAATCCCATCACAGCCCCACCGCTCGCGTGCGTCCAACGCAGCAGTGACTGCCTGCTGAGTCCCACCTGTGGCGTTCAGTGACGGCCGAGGGCCGGCCGGCGGTGGGCCGGCGCCGAACAGTCGTCGGACTTGCGCCGAGCCCGCGCTGTCGTCCTCGAACACGCCGTGTTCGGCCGGGCCGCAGCTGCAGTGTTGGCATACCTTCCTCCACGCAGGAGAGTCGGGTCGTCAGCACCCAGAGGCTGGGCCAACCGGGCGGAGATCCGTCTACAGGCACGCTACCTGGGTCACCACTGTGCTCCAAACAGGAATATTAAAGCGCACGTGACTCTGCGGAGCATCATTGCCCTTGATGCCACTGCTGATGCAGCTCGGTGCATAGTCATCAGTTTGCCTCCGCAACCACATGGAGTGTACACATGACCGATGGAGCCGCTCCCAAACCGGGTCGGTGTTATCATTTCAATACACACAGCACACGGGCCGGTGCGCGGCTTTTTACCTCCAGTAGTGCAGGTCGAATCCGGGACAGGCGGAGCCGCATCGCATGCACGGCGCGCCCTGGCCAACCTCATGGCCCAGAGTGGCGCCACCGAAGCCGTTCCGGTCGGGCCAGCTGGCGGGCGCCAAGCTGGGTGCGCTGGCTGGTGGACTGAACATCTTGAGGTTGCAGCGCTCACGGCCGCCAAACCCCGTCTTTAGGCAACGGGCATCGAGTGCGGACCGACCGCGAGCTCCAACGAGCGACCGAGCCCATGCAAAGCCGTGCCCTCGGGCTCTTCGTCACATAGGACAGGTTTGTGAATGTAAAGAATAGAACATCGACCCACGCCGGCTCTGGTCACTGAACTAGGTGTCCTGTGTGCCACCCACTGGATTGATGGCATGCATTTTCATTTGCTTATCTAGAATGACAACTACAGTGAACAGGTTCCATATTGTCGTTTTTCGTCGCAACATTGGTCGCAAAGAGATTGCACACATTTTCTGGATATTATAAAAGCAATCGCCCAACTTGGGATACATCCGTAGTTTGATTACTCTTGATAAGCCTGGGTTTCGCACGTGAAATAAATAAGCTAATGCTTCCGCTATGCGCCAGTTGCATGCGAACATGTATACACATGGACGCACCTAACATGTTCCACCCACGAATCTCGTGGCTCTATCTATTCACGCTGGAGTTCGCGCGCAAGCTACACACATCGACACAGAATGGAATATTTCCGTTCATCATCTCTCAAAACGGTTTGGTTTCGCGTGGCTGCAGGGCCGTGCCACTGATGACTAAGCCCAGTTCCAAACCGTTTTGTGCTTTTCATTTTTTCTATCCGTTTTTGGCCCTCCACATTTAGAACCGAAGCGTTCGGATCAGTTTTGGGCGTGTTAAAACCCCGAAGGCAGGTCACTCCCAATTAACCCATTCGTTAGCCAATGTTTTAGCGGCGCCACCTGACGGGCGGCCGTGACTCGCCCGAGGTTTGCGTCACGTGCTCCCAGTGGCGCGGCGTGGCGTGCCCGGTATGTGGGCCGGCGCCGGTGGGTGCTGATTTCCGCGTGCTTTGACTCACCGCATGTGACGACTCACATCACGAGCTCAGCTCCCACCAATCGCTGCCGTTATCAGCAGTGCACCGGCCGTCCATTGGCCAGGAGATGGTGGGGGTTCCCCGGACCGATTGCACGGCCGGCCGCCAGCGTCCGTCCCGGCCCTGACAGTGCGAGGGTGGTGCTGCAGAACGCTCTGGTGGTCCCTGTCACACGCTGTGCCGGGGACGGACGTCGCACGCTCGGATACGCTGCTGCAAACATCGGCCAAACTGCGCCTTTTGAGGCTGTCAGCTGCCAGTTGCCTTAGCTCGGAGAGCTTCGTTGAGTCCTGAGCTGTCTGGAGGGAGCGTGAACGCCGCCATGGACGACCCGTTGAATTTGTTCGGACTGCAGGACGAGACCGCCGCCACCGCCGGCGCCTTGCAGCGTGCTCAGGCGCACTATGAACACCAGATGGCGCCGGCCGCCGGTAGGGAGGAGCAAGTCATACGGCGAGCCCACGCTGGCGCCATCAGGTTGGCGTCGACACCGGCCTCGCCGGAGCTGTCCGGCCGCCAGCGGGAGCAGCGGAAGCCACATCTGATGAAGACACGGAGCCTCCACGAGCTGCAATGGGCACAGGTCACTGCCTTCCAGGCGGCTGCTGAGACCCGGAGTACGCATCGGGGTACTGAGCGAAGGAAGCACCCGCCCGACCGCGTCAGGCAGACACAATATACAGCGACCGCTGGCGTGCCTGTTCAAGCAGACGTCACCTCCGACACTGCAGCACATCACGGCACACGCCAGCGTCCTCAGTCAGACGGACCGGCCGGCTGGCCATGGTGCCATACTTTAGAGCGTGCTGAAGCAGTGGACCCTGAGGCAGATGCGGCGCCGGACTGCACGGCTCCGCTCGTGCAAATCGACGAGCCTGCAGCACGCCCCGGTGTCTTCCGTCGCACCCAAGCGAATGAGCCCGTGAGCTCTGCGGCACAGCCAGGCACCTCTCAGTGTGCTCAATCAGAAGACATCACGCACTCGGCGGCGCGTCGCGACGAAGGTTGGCGCCTCCGAACAGACTGCGCCACCGACTATTCGGCACGACCCAGCGCGTCCGAGCGGCAGGCACAGAGCCTGCAGGATCAGCCCCGGCCCAAAGCACTTGCTACTCGGCTATCTGAAGATAGCGCAGACGACGTGATAGCCCACCCAGTGAAGCTGTTCGACGTCGCTGCTGACGGCACTGAGCTGGTGCTGCAGGAGACAGCGCTACAGATGTTGCTTTCCGATGACATCAGAGACACGGTCGTCATCCCCGTGTCGGTTACGGGAGCGTTGCGTAAGGGCAAGTCGTCCCTGCTGAACGCGCTGCTGCGCTACCTGCGTGCCGGCGCCGGCGACGGCGCCTGGCTGGACGCCGGTGACGCATCGCTGCGGGGCTTCCCGTGCGGCGGCGGCCGACACCCGGTGACGCGCGGAGTTGACCTGTGGTCGCGGCCGCTGCCGGTCACACTCGCCTCGGGCCAGCCGGCGGTCCTCCTGCTGCTCGACGCGCAAGGCGCGTTCGGCGCAGCGTCGACACAGCGCGAGAGCGTGATGGTACGCGCGCTGGTCGGCCTGCTGAGCGCCGTGCAGGTGGTGCACGTGTCGCGCCAGCTGCAGGCGGACGATCTGGCGCAGCTGCGACTCTGCGCCGAGTACGGCCGGCTGATGGCGGCGGCCGCCGGCCGGCCGGCTCGCCTCCAGCGGCTCGTCATGCTCGTGCGCGACTGGGCGTTCCCGGACGACGCGCCGTACGGCCCCGACGGCGGACGCCAGGTGCTCGAGCACTGGCTGCAGGACGACTGTGGCGACGGACCGGGTCTGGCTGCAGCCGTCCAAGGGCTGGAGTGTTTCCTGCTGCCGCACCCGGGCTCGGCGACGGCCGGCGCCGCCCGGCTGGAGCCCGAGTTTCGTTGCCAGCTGCGCCGGCTGGTGCCGTGGCTGCTCGAGCCCGGCCGGGCGGCGCCTCGCCAGCTGGACGGCCAGCCGCTGACCGGCGCCGGTCTGGCGGCGCTGTGTCGCGCGCTGGCCGCCACCACCGATGTGCCGCCGCCGCCAGAGAGCCTGGCCGCCTCACTCGCCGAGTCAGCCCAGCGCCGGGCCGAGGAGGCGGCGCTGCAGACGTATCGCACCCAACTGGATGAGCGCACGAGCGCCGGCCAGCCGCTGGCCGACGAGGAGCTGCTGGCGACGAGCCGGGCGGCCGAGCGGCAGGCGCGCCGCCAGCTGACGGCCGCGCCTGCCAACGGTCGTCACGCTGACGGCCAGACGTCCGAACGGCTGGTCGTCGCCCTCGACGAGCAGCTGCAGCGCTCTCGACAACTGAACCAGCAGCAGCGGGCCTTATGTGAGGCGCGCGCCGACCGGAGCAACGCCGACCTGGCCGCGGCCGGCCGCGATCTCTACGAGCAAATGATGCTGCGCACGCTGCCGGCCGCCGGGCCCAGCGTCAGCGACGACGTGCTGCTGGCCAGCCACGAGACCGGCGTGAGCTGCGCGCTGAAGCACTACGACGCCTGCCGCGACCCGTCCGCGTCGGAGGCCGAGCAACAGCGACAGAGTCTGCTGCAGCAACTTGGGGACCGTTTAATGGCGCTGTGGCGGACGAATGACGCACTCCGCCGGCGAGAGAAGACCGCCGCCGCCGCCGCTGCCGCCGTCGAACTGCAGCGCGCGCAGGCACACTACGAGCGCCAGATGGCGCCGGCCACCGGTCGGGACGAGGAGGCCGTGCAGCGGGCGCACGCTGGCGCGGCTCGTGCAGCGCGAGCACTGGCCGGCCCCTCGCCGGAGCTGTCCGGCTGGCTGTCGGAGCAGCTGGGGCGACGGCTGGAGGAAGCACGACAGCAGCAAGAGCTGCAGCGGGCGCAGGAGGCGTACGCCGCAGCGGCGGCGGCGCACGAGGAGGGAAAACGGCATCGACATCACCGGCGTGGACTCTTAAACAGACCACCTCGCTGGTGAGACGTGCTGTTCTGACCAGAAGACGTCCTGTTCTGCCCATGAGCGTGGCCGCGCACGGTGGCGCTGGCCTAGCTGGAAATTATGCACTGAACAGCTTTGGTAAATCTTAGTTTTGAGCAGAGGTGTTGCAGTTGGGAAACACGCGAGTGCACACCGAGAGCCGGTCGCCGATGCCGCGGACCAAGCACGGCGTCGTCTTCTTCGGCATTGAGGGCGCCTGTGATATGTCATGGGCGCCATGATACCACGTGGAATCATGGCATTCCTGTCCAGCTATGTATGTATGGTATACACGGGAATATGGGCACTTGTCTTCAAACCCCTTTAGTTGACCGTTGTTTCTGTGTCCATGTTGGGAACGCGCGCTCTGAGAGGCACCATCAAGTCAATGATGTGCCCCAAGGTGGTGTGCTGAGCGTATCACTGTTCGCCGTTATGATTAATGCCATCGGGATTGGGCTGCCGCAGTCTGTGGGTCGTGCCCTTTTTGCTGACGATTTTACCAGTTGGACTAGCGCAGCAGGAGCACCATCGATGGAGAGGCATCTCCAGTTGGCTGTGGACCGTATCAAGAAGTGGGGTACCACAAACGTGCTCAGTTTTTTAATTGATAAGACTGTAGCCATGTATTTTTTGTCGCAGTCGGCAATGCGGTAATATGTCTATCCGTCTGCACGAATAATACATCCCAACTAAGCCTGTGGCAAGATACATTGAAGTACACCCTTCAGCCGACTAACGTATAAGGTGCATCGTAAGGCGCTACGTGAACACCGTTTTAAATCTTTGAACATGCTAAAATGTGTTTCACACACATCGTATGGCGGAGATCTTAGCACGCTTTTGCTGCTGTATCGGACAATCACACGCTCTAAGCTGGACTAAGCGTGTTTTATTTATGAAAGCGCGTGTGAATCCACCCACCGCGTGGGTGGATTCACCATCACCATTCACCATCATTGACACCATCCACCACACCGCTCGACGTGTCATCACAGGGACGTCACGCACATCACCTGCCGTAGGCCTCATGGCAGAATCACACGCGCCGTCCCTGTCAGCGAGGACAGTGTGTTACGCACTTAAGCTGCGACAGGCTCCCTCCCACCCGGCGTGTGGCCTCATGGCAGAATCACACGCGCCGTCCCTGTCAGCGGGGACAGTGTGTTACGCACTCCAGCTGCGACAGGCTCCCTCCCACCCGGCGTGTGGCCTCATGGCAGAATCACACGCGCCGTCCCTGTCAGCGGGGACAGCGTGTTATGCACTAAGGCTGCGACAGGCTCCCTCCCACCCGGCGTGTGGCCTCATGGCAGAATCACACGCGCCGTCCCTGTCAGCGGGGACAGTGTGTTACGCACTAAGGCTGCGACAGGCTCCCTCCCACCCGGCGTGTGGCCTCATGGCAGAATCACACGCGCCGTCCCTGTCAGCGGGGACAGTGTGTTACGCACTTAAGCTGCGACAGGCTCCCTCCCACCCGGCGTGTATATCACGGAACGTTTTCACGGCCTGCTGTGCGCTTTCTTCGCGGCGCACCTCGGGCTCATGCTGTGACCTTTGCTTTCCGATTTCAAGCCTTACTGCGTGAAAGCGAAATTTCTATTCGGAGTGTGAGGATCGGGCAGATCATCTGTCCACTCCTCGCTGGCATTCGACCTCGCCCCCAGTAGACATGCCTCCGACCGAAATGAAAACAATGCCGTCTTGCCAGATATAGTGAAGCCTAGGGCACTTTAGTGTATGACGTCATCTGAGGGTTGCACCGTATGACGTCATCTGAGGGTTGCACCGTCACTTGCTTCCGCTTGCACAGGACATTTTATGACGTCTGACTGAACTGGACCAGGCCGGAGAGGTCATCTCGTGTTGGATCCCCAGTTATATTAAAATCACCGGCAACGAGGTGGCTGACGCAGCTAGCGGACGAGCAACGCTGGCTCCGTGTGTACGCTCTTTCTGGCCCTGCTAGACTTTTACTCTGCAATACAAACGTTTTTGCAGAACGCGTGGCAGCATTGTTGGGATGGTACCGATGACAACTAGCTTAGAGGGATAAACCCCAGCTGGGTCAGCGGTTGTCTTGTTCTCGCAAGGTGAGGCGAGATGAGGTGATCCGCTGCAGACTACGTATTGTTCACACTTATGCAACCCACGGCTTTCTGTTGAGGGAGCGTGTAAGTCTCCCTGCCTGTGTTGTTGTTCTCACCGCTTGCTATGCCATTAGATTGTGTCTGCGCATCGTGTAAGAACGTCTGCGTCGCTCTGGACAGCGTGTCCCGCCCCTGACGCCCTGGACGTACCAGAGGACGACTCGCGCGGTCTTAAATCTAACCAGGTCTTTTTGTTGCTGAAGCATATCAACTTCGGGACTATTCACACGGTCCATTACTTAGGTAAAATCCCTCGTTATGGGTGCCAAATGACTTGCGACCGGCGCGCCCGAAAACATCAATAAACAACAGGAAAGCGGACCAGGCACACCAAACCGTCTCCCGATGAAGACTTCACATGGTAGTGGTGCGCCCATCGCATCGCTTTGACGTCCACCCTCCGTCTGCCCCCTTGACTTCGACCAGCGTCCAGTTACGGCTGTTGCGTAGCCGCGTGATATACATCGCAGTCATGCAGCGACTCGCGTCGCCTGATTATCGTGCGCCTGCAGTGCTGGCACCGCACCAATCCCCGCCATATTTAAGGTACATATGGACGGCCACGATAACTTTACATACAGCCGACCGCTGACGTCCTGGTGTGGATTCCATCCAGAGGATGAAGAACAACACAGTACACGAGCTTGACCACTTCCGACACATCCATTTTATTTTTCTCCGACAGGTACTCATAAAACCACAGTACAAAACACGTACGGCATTTAGTCCCAATGGATAGTTGCTATTGTTGTTGGAAGAATCCATTAAAGCACGATACAGCCACCCACCCGATATAAAACGATTGATGATGCAATAAAAACAAGACTTGTTGACACATAGGAAAAACAAGTCAGAAGCATGCGGTTTGTCTGAAGTCAGGCCAGCGTGGGGCGATAGATGAGGGAGCTCGGCGAGCCGCGGAACGCTGCCGGCGGGGCCGGAGCCTACCTGAGACCCGAGACAAATGACGACACACGACACGCTGTACCCGCCGTAAAACCCACGTCACAGGAGCAGTCGACCGCCAGTAATGCGCGGACCCAGAGGTAAGCGACGAACGGGCCATTGCGCCGCGGACATCACACGGCCCAATCGGACATGTCATGTGAGCATGACGTTCTGCTAACCAAGACATCGGCCGGCGGTGCAAGGCGGGGATCTACACCGAACCCCCGTTGTCAGGCGGCAGCACTCCATGTGCAGATCCAACACAAGTTATCTCAGACAGCGCACAGCCCCCGCGACCGAAGGCAGCCAGCCTCCACCCACGCAGGTGCCCCGGTGAGGCGGCGCCGCGCCAGCCTCTCCGGGGCGCCCGAGCCGGACGGCGCGCCACCACAGACACCTGGCCTGCTCGCGCTGCACGCGGCTGGCCCACCGTTCACCGCTCGCCCAGATCGGACAGGCTGAGCCGGGCCACGTCCACGTGCAGCGTGTCAAAGGCGGGCGACACGCCGAGCGTGGGCGCGCCGCCGGCCGACGCGCCGGGCGGCTCGGGCGTCACCTCCTCGACGGCCGGCGGCCGGCCGGGCGCCGGCGAGCGCCGCCGCCGCCGCCGCGCCCCCGGCGACCGGCCGTCGGCCGACGCCAGCAGCTGGCGCATCAGCTGAAACGGCGCCAGGTCAGTGAGGAGCGGCCGCCGGCTGGGCGTCCGCTGGCGGTCACTGCTCTGGCAGGACTGTATGGCCCATATAACGTCGGCTTCCCGTCAACAGTCTGATCTGAATGAGCGCACGACAGGCGTTTAACAATACAATAAAAAGATCGTGTGATGTCAAAGCCGGCGTCTGCGTGCACTTCCTACCTCTACATTTATGAACAGATAACCCTAGAGACACAGCAACAGATAAATGTCAGGCGCTTAGTCACCTATATGTCTGTTGGATTGCTAGTTATGAATGGTCCATGTTTCAAAAGCAATTTGCCGTGGTACCGATCCCAAATCGTTACAAAAAGGATGTCAATGAGTGGACGCGGCGATGAAACGTTACCTGTTTTTGAACATTAAGGATTTCCTTCAAAGCTTCCACGTCCACTCCTTCGTTGTCTGATAGAAGCCGATCCATCTTCTCAATGCACAGCGCCTGCTCCTCGAGGGCTTGTGCTAGTCGAGTCGGGACGTCAGCACACCCCTGAGAGACGGCACGGTGTCAGTCCCGGGGCGCCGCTGGGCAGGGTAGTGTGTGCGTGCAGGCCTGAGTCCGGTCACCGGGACCATCTGCGTGGCTGCTCGGAAGACACCACTGAAGGAGAAGGGCTACTGTCACAGGCCCCTTGTGCCGAAGCTGCCGGCTACTGCCTCATCGCACAGGTGCTGCGCTGGGTGTCGGGCACCGCTGCTCCGTGGGCAGCCGTGACGACGCGAGCACAACGACGCTGGACACCCGGACACGACCTGGGCATCGCTGGACACCCGGACATGATCTGGGCACCGCTGAACGCCCGGACATGATCTGGGCATCGCTGGACACCCGAACACGATCTGGGCATCGCTGGACACCCGGACGGATGTAGCTCCGATACAGCACTCGCGTCGACAAGCCCCGAAGCCTACTGCACATGATCCCCGGGTCCCGAGGACGCCTCGCTATGGATGTGTCAGCCCTGCCGGCCGGCGAACGGCGCCGCCGCTGGTCACGCACGCAAGGCTGCAGCCCACCGGCAGACTGTTGGCGGGCCAGCGCTCACTGCAGCTGAAGCTGAGCAGAGGGACGACATTCAGGCCGGCCGGGCACCCAACATATCCGTTGGACGGACGCAAGCCCCGGCAGTCAGGCGCACATGCCTCGTTTTCATGAAACTGATGACCAGTCCAACGCGTCCGACAAGCGGGGACACGGCTTCCTTGGTTGCACGCACCCAAAAGGCACGGCACATCAATAATGCAGCCGCAAAACGTGGATACGTGGCCTTTTCACCTGAATTGATCCATACACCCGCAGGCCATGAAGAAAACAGCAGCCCCACGCCACGCATCCGTCCATGCGAAATCCCCAGTACATTCCCAGGGACACACAATCATGTCGATTTCGTCCAGGAGCAGCTGCGTGATGGATCTGAAGCCATTCGGGGCGTAGCACGGGCGCCGGCTGACGACACGGACGGCGCCAGGCGCCAGACCGAGACCACCGCCAGAGCGTGTGGACGCTTGTGGCATGCACACGCTGACCGGCTGACTGCGCAGTCAGTCGCAAGCATAGAGAGCCAACACCTGCCAACATTTCGCGGCTGTTTGTGGCCCACAGCCCGCATCTGTATGCCGACGACCCGTGTACCAGTTTGAGACAAAAGGACACGGGACAGCAAGCCCATACCAGTGCACAACACAGGCAGGCCCGCCGCCGGCACACAACACAGGCAACGCCCCCACCTCCGCGCCATGCACACCCCGGCGGTGTCACCTCGCCGCCTGCGCTCCGTCCGCCGGCGGCCGTCGAGCGCTCAGAACCACCCCAGGCTAGGCAAACTGAGGCTGAGCAAACCCAACTTTCTAGATCTTGTCTTCCTCTGTGAAGCGGGAGTGGAATAACGGTGAGTTTGTTCCCTGCAACACAACGAATCTGTGCACCTTACGGTTAGAGAGCGACGTTCGTCAAGGTGGAGTGACTGGTGCAGGTAACTTGTTGACATGTGACACAATGTTCTCGTATTCTTCTTGCACATCCTCGCAAAGGCTTTGTTGCTCCCCCCCCCCCCCCCCCACACCTCCATCTTCTGTGTGTGTGCCGCCATCTTCCTTTACTATCGGGCCACTTAGCAGCCGCACTCAGACTGTTCGTAGTCACAATATCTGCTATTGGGGACTTGGAACAGAGCCATGAAATGACCCAGGAAGCGTGGCGAGGTGCCCAGCGTGCGGCTGTTCCCAGGTGTACCTGATGATAGTGATGTACCGTCACCTTACACCAGAGAAACCAGATGATGAACAGTTCGGTGTCGAGAGCATGCGTGGTCTGCTTCACCGGCAGAGGCAAATCATGATCGCACGTGATAGATGAACAACCTTAGAAACGGACTTGTGCTATATCACACCGCACCCACCACCAGCTTATGTCAAACAACGACGGACAGACGACGGTCAGACAATGCGGTGAGGCTGGCTCGGGCGATGCCCTGCCAGGAGATCCGCGGCTGCCTGCAGGCACTCACCGGGTTCCATTCCGCTGGCGTTTCACATTGTTTACTCTCCATCACACAGTAGTCGTTGGCTTCAAATGACGCCATCTTTGAGTGTTTCTCGCGGAGCGCCGACACGTCCTGCATGTCCACCGGTGGGAGGCCGTTGCTCACTGGCAAGGAGAGGCAGGTCTGGCGTTACACGTCCTGCATGTCCACCGGCGGGAGGCCGTTGCTCACTGGCAAGGAGAGGCGGGTCTGGCGTTACACGTCCTGCATATCCACCGGCGGGAAGCCGTTGCTCACTGGCAAGGAGAGGCGGGTCTGGCGTTACCTTCGCCGCAGAAGCCCGCAAAGCCGACGCCTGTCGGCCCCAGCCGGCGCAGAGCACAGCACGGCACAGCGCGCCGTCTGGAGAGGATCGCTGGCGGGTGCTGGGAGCAGGTGGGCGTCGGTGCGCTGGCCGGCCTGCCGTGACCTGGCCAGGTGAGCGGCGGCTGACCGCGCTCCGCACCGGGGGGTGGCAGACGGGGGCCACCACCAGAGCCCAGCTCGGGGGCTGACCGTGTTGGGTGACAACGGCAGTCACAACTGTCGTAGCTGACAACCGCTCATTTGGCTCGCTCTTGGAAGCAATAGATATGGACCAAACTATATTCCTACGCCAGCACAGCTCACTTGTTTCAATATTAGCGAACACGCCGACATGGCGTGATCTCCCAGCGCCCTCCCAGCTGACCATGACCACCGACACTGGTCTGACGGCGGTACTCTTACCCCTTTTTGAGCACGGCAAATGAACCAAATTTGAACAACCGCATATCGCGAAACCAGTGCACATCCGTTTATGGACGGGAAACTGTACAAAATGACCGTCCTTGTCCAACTGCCACACGCTTGGTTCCCCTTAGCTCTCCTCGACGGACTATGACTTGGTTCCCCTTAGCTCTCCGAGACGGTCTATGGCTTGGTTCCTCTCAGCTCTCCGAGACGGTCTGTGGCTTGGTTCCCCTCAGCTCTCCGCGACGGACTATGGCTTGGTTCCCCTCAGCTCTCCGTGACAGACTATGGCTTGGTTCCCCCTCAACTCTCCGCGACGGATCATGGCTCGGTTTCTCCTCTGCCCTTAGCGCGAGGCACCGTATGGGTCACAGCTCCGAGACGGTCTATGGCTTGGTTCCCCCTAGCTCTCCGCGAAGGACTATGGCTTGGTTCCCCTTAGCTCTCCGTGACAAACTATGGCTTGGTTCCCCTCAACTCTCCACGACGGACAACGGCTTGGTTTCCCTTCAGCTATCCACGACGGACTGCAACTTGGTTTCCTCTCTGCTCTCAGCGCGAGACACCGTGTGGGTCACAGCTCCGCGACGGACAATGGCTTGGTTTCCCTTCATCTATCCATGACATACTGTGGCTTGGTTTCCCCACTGCTCTCAGCGGGAGACACCGTGTAGGTCACAACTCCGCGACGAACTATGGCTTGGTTTCCACTCTGCTCCCAGCGAGAGACACCGTGTGGGTCACAGCTCCGCGACGAACTATGGCTTGGTTTCCCCTCTGCTCTCAGCGCGAGACGCCGTGTAGGTCACAACTCCGCGACGGACTATGGCTTGGTTTCCACTCTGCTCCCAGCGAGAGACACCGTGTGGGTCACAGCTCTGCGACGGGCTATGGCTTGGTTTCCGCTCTGCTCCCAGCGAGAGACACCGTGTGGGTCACAGCTCTGCGACGGACAATGGCTTGGTTTCCCCCCTGCTCTCAGCGCGAGACACCGTGTGGGTCACAGCTCCGCGACGGACTATGGCTTGGTTTCCACTCTGCTCCCAGCGCGAGACACCATGTAGGTCACAGCTCCGCGACGGACTATGGCTTGGTTTCCACTCTGCTCCCAGCGAGAGACACCGTGTGGGTCACAGCTCCGCGACGGACTATGGCTTGGTTTCCACTCTGTTCCCAGCGAGAGACACCGTGTGGGTCACAGCTCCGCGACGGGCTTAAGCCGCGCTGATATCTGCAGCGAAGGCCGCCGATAAGCGGGCAACAGGATCAGACACCAATTAGAACAGGCCGTGCTGATTCTAACACGTTTGCTTCAATGCATGTGATAAGGTGTTTGCAACGGCCCGCTCGACACGCTGCAGGGAACAGGCAAACGAGTGTCGCCAAGCTCCAATATTGTCAGGAAGGTTTTGCGGTGGCTCGCTTTGTTCTGAATGAAACCTTCCCTGTAACCACATGTTGTTACGCACTTTTCTTAACCTCAAGAACAGTTCAAGTAATGGCTTGACTCACATTACAGCCGTTCAATTGAAAACTTTTCCTGCCCGGTGTACCGCCGACAGAGGCCTTTAGCAGATTCAATGACTCTTCTCGAAGCCGTTCACAGATTAAATATCACCGAGGCTCAAACACGTTCAGATCCCGGATCAGGAAAAAGCTCCGAGTGGCCGTCGATACCGTCAGTTACCCGGCGCTAGTCGGAACCCGCCACCGCGTGATGAGATCGATTGGCTTCATCAGCTCAACGCTGCGATAACCATAACGCCAATGCCAAGCCCACCAGCCTGGTGATCGGCAGTGCGATTTCGCGTATTGGGCGGATCATTAAAGCGAACTGAGTAACTAATCCAGCCATGCGCCATACACCGAGAGCGGTCTCTGAGTTACACCTGCTGCGCCGTGCTCCGACAGGGGTCCCGACCACAGTTTACGAGTTACGCCTGCCGTGGGCTGCTCCGACAGTGGTCCCGACCGCAGTTTGCGCGGCCCAGTGGAGCCCCCGTGACACCCACGCGCCGCTACATCAACGGTCTCCCGTGCGCCGGTGTCCCCACGGTGTACCGTGCGCCGGTGTCCCCACAGTCTCCCGTGCGCTGGTGTCCCCACGGTCTCCCGTGCGCTGGTGGAGCAACGGTTTCCCGTGCGCCAGTGGAGCAACGGTCTCCCGTGCACCGGTGGAGCAACGGTCTCCCGTGCGCCGGTGGAGCAACGGTCTCCCGTGCGCCGGTGGAGCAACGGTCTCCCGTGCGCCGGTGGAGCAACGGTCTCCCGTGCGCCGGTGGAGCAACGGTCTCCCGTGCGCCGGTGTCCCCACGGTCTCGGAGCAACGGTTTGCCGCGCGCCGATGGCGGATCAGCACCACCAGCGAGGCTAACCGATGAAACAGCACATGAACACGACGACAGACGCCCTGCCTGTGTGCAGTGAGCAGTGTCGGTCGGCGACGGGCGGTACGGCCGTACCTGGCTCGGCGACCGGCCTCAGCCGCCTGGCCAGGGCTCGGCCGAGGCGCGGCGGTGCGACCGGTTCCCGCTCCGGCGGCGGCGGCGGCAGCGGCGGCGGCTGGGTCACGCCCCGAGGCCGCGACAGCACGCTCTCGTCACGGGCAGACACCTGTAACCGGGCCGTACACAGGCTACAGCTCAGACGGGGCGGCACCGTACGCCGAGCACTGGCGCATCCCCAGGCCGGCAGGGGCGGCACCGCGCGCCGAGCACTGGCGCACCCCCAGGCCGGCCGAGGCGGCACCGTACGCCGAGCACTGGCGCATCCCCAGGCCGGCCGAGGCGGCACCGCGCGCCGAGCACTGGCGCACCCCCAGGCCGGCCGAGGCGGCACCGTGCGCCGAGCACTGGCGCACCCCCAGGCCGGACGGCCGTATGACAAACCAAAGCCGGGATAGCAACAGCTGAAAGGACCGGCGCTCCGACGTGACCTTGACGGCCGGCGGCCGCTGACACGTCAGACGGTCAGCAGTCAAACTCAAACACATGCCGCCGTCGGCAGACCAACACTCACAGCCCCGCCGGCGCGTGCCAGCATTTCGGGCCAACGGCACACATTGGTACTGAACAGTTCTGCCGTGTTCGTCGCCGTTCGCTGCGTACGGAGCCACCAATGCCTGCCGACTTCGCGACCGAAGCGAGCCACAGCAAACACAAAACACAGCACGGAAGCCGCGCACCACCGCTGCCTAAATTGCTAACAGTTGTTTTCTAAGGCTAGCCTGTTAGGACTGGTCCAAAAGAGGCAAATGGTGGTTTGCCGTCGCATCGTAGCACATGACGCGTCCGCTGATTAAGTATGGTTTATGTCTAACGAGGCCGCCGATTATTTTCGTGGTGCGGTGCAAGGCCGCCTGACGTCATTCCGTGGGCACGGCGGATGTTACAACTATTTTCAATACTTGACCTGATGTGACCCTGATGTAAATGGCCCCAGAATCATTAACACACGTCGGCCATTTTAGTTCATGACAAAGCTGCCTCACGGGCTGGCGCGGCGTTCCAAGACATCACCGGACTTGAACATGTCCTCCAATGATCTTTCCACAGGTCAAGGGCATTGGTGACGTTCTGTCCAGTGCACAGTAACGTCTTTTACGGCGTGGGACGAACGACGTGATGACAGGAAAGGGCGTTGTGGCCGCATAGATGAAACTAAAACGTCAGTGGATGAAGTCTGTATCCTTTGGGAAACGCTGAGCGCTCTCACACGAAGTTACAAATATCACGGTATGAAAGTGGGCCGCCGTTGGGCCTGACAGGCTTTACACGTGTAACTGACAAAATCGAGGAATTTCACATAGATAAATTCAAATGAATGAAGATGACAAAAACATTGCAAAAACGCAAATGCTTTGGGTGGATGCTGGCCGCGATAAGCTAAAAGGTACCTGCTGAATGCATGTATCTGCTGCAAATATCCTGATATTTGCTGGCATGTATTTGCCTATGATACACAAATATATGCCCATTTCATGGCAGTCTTTTTTGGTGCAGGCCCAACAGTATGGCCTCCGAGGCACGCCACGGAGGAGTGGCTCCGCGCGCCCCGCAAACAACACCTGACCAACCTTCGGCCCGGGCCATGTCCAGCTGGCCTTCTGATCCACACAAGTAACAGCTGACCAACCTTCGGCTCGGGCCATGTCAAGCTGGCCTTCTCGCCCCGCAAATGACAGATGACCTACCTTCGGCTCGGGCCATGTCCAGCTGGCCCTCTGATCCACACAATACATTCGCCTATCCCACGCTGCTGCTGCCTCCGATCGCTTTCACGCGGCGATCAGCTCTGGTTATCATGAAAACCAATATTTATTGTCATAAAACGGACCAGTCCATGATTGGCGTACGCCTGCGCAAGACCTGACCTGATGCACCCGCGGACTGCGACCTCCCGACATGACGACCCGCTCCCTCCTCCGTCTCATCACGACCTGACCTGATGCACCCGCGGACTGCGACCTCCCGGGATGGCGACCCACTCCCTCCTCCGTCTCACTATGACCTGACCTGATGCACCCGTGGACTGCGACTTCCCGGGATGACGACCCGCTCCCTCCTCTGTCTCATCATGACCTGACCTGATGCACCCGCGGACTCCGACCTCCCGGGATGGCGACCCACTCCCTCCTCCGTCTCATCATGACCTGACCTGACGCACCCACGGACTCCGACCTCCCGGGATGGCGACCCATTTCCTCCTGCGTCTCATCAGTTGGCCCCATGTCGACCAGACGCCCCGTTGTCAAGAGCTAAACCTCGTTTCGACCCACGTTCAGCATTTTTTAAAAAATCGATGGGATGGTGATGGTGATGATGATGAATGGGTTTTTGGGGCGCACTGACTACAATGGTCATCTGGCACCCATTATTCAATGGGACATTTCGCGCGCTGATGGACAGAGGAAAGCTTTATTTCGTTAAATTACAGAAAAATCGTAACTGGTAAAACAACTTACGATTCAAAGAAATGTTCAATGCAGTGCAATGTAGTTGCAATGCATAATTTGGAGACAGATGCGCTCCCTTCCGCCCGTCATTGCAAGGAGTTGCAATCGGCGATTGCTAAGATGTCTGACCCTAGACAGCGTGCCAACCGGATCACTCAAATTGACCTTTATATCTGTTGTGGCAATCGTCGGCCGGTGACCCGACCAGACGGGAGCCCCCGGCTGCCCGGTCCGGCGTTAGTCGCGTCAGGCTCCTCTAGACATCAGGCTGCACTAAACGGCTGCAATAGACTTTCAAAAAGCCACAGGAAATGGAGACTGTTCGCTCCACTTTGTGTGGCGAGGGCTGACGACTTGGATGGACCGCACACACAGACAACTGATGAAGAACGACGGCGGGACGCGCTCAGCCGACCACTCACCGACGGCGGGACGCGCTCGCCAGAGTTGCGCCTGGCGCCGGCCGGCGCCGACGACAGCTTGCGTGGCGAGGGCGGCCCGGGCGGATAGCCATCCGGTCTGCTGTGCTCCTGTCGGCGAGGCACACCGATCAGCCGGTCCGTCCCACAGCGGGGGAGGGGGCGGGGCAGGGCGCACCGGTCAGCCGGTCCCTCCCACAACGGGGGAGGGGGGGGGGGGGAGGCGGACGTCAGCGGGGCGCACCGATCAGCCGGTCTATCCCACAGCGGGGGCGCCAGACAGCACCCCATCCCGAGCGGGGCGCCGGCTCGCACGCCCACCTTAGGGTTGCGCATGTGCAGGGCGTAGGCGATGCAGCTGGTGATGTCGGGCGCGGGCGGCAGGTTCATGAGCAGCGTCAGCGCCTCCATGCCGTCCCGCTCCAGGACTGCGGCGAGGGGCGGCGTCAGGCTGGGCGGCACACGAACGAGGCCCGAGCGGGCCACGCCGACACGCCCAACGGCCGCCGGCAGCCCCGCCGGGCAACGGCCTGGCAGACGAGGCGCGGCCGGCACCTTTTGTCCGCCTTTACTGATGTCCGGCCATTAGCGCACCGTTGACTAGGCTGGGTGGTGACCAGCAGCGCCGCCGGGCCGCCCGCGTGTACACGGCCCCGGGTCAGCAGACGGCCGACTCGGCACCGGGCGAGTCGCCCCGGCCGGCGCTAGCGGCGGCGCTCACTCTGGCTGCGGTGATAGACGAGAATGGCGCAGAAGACGTAAGGCACCAGGTCGAGTGAGTTGGTGTCGTGGCTGTCGGCGAACAGGGCGTCCCAGACAGCGCACAGGTCGGGCAGCCGGAACTCACGACCGAACAGCAGCCGGAACATTTTTCTGTCGAAAACGGGGGGGGGGGGGTAACCAAAGCATCCCATCACATCTGAACGTGCCACCCTCCATCCTATCCATAACGCCTGAGCTTGGCTGGCTGAACATCGTGAAGGCTGCCACCTTCGGAAGGACTCCACGATCGTCGGCTGTCAGCGCAGCCCGTGCCTGCCAGCCGGCCGGCCCAGTCACTCACAGTCCGAACAGCTGCGGCTCCACGCCCAGCTCCAGCAGCTTCAGGTACAGCGTGTAGTCACGCAGCCGCAGCAGCTGGTGCACGGCTTGATTACAGGGCGACGGCTCCCACAGCACCGGACACTCGCGACTCTGGCGGCAGCGCACGGCCGGCATCAGCACCGGTCCCGTGCCCACCTCTAGGGCCAGCCCGTGCCCGCCTCTAGAGCCGGTCCCGTGCCCACCTCTTGGGCCAGCCCGTGCCCACCTCTAGAGCCGGTCACGTGCCCACCTCTAGGGCCGGTCCCGTGCCCACCCCTAGAGCCGGTCCCGCGCCCACCTACTGGGCCGGTCCCGCTCCCATCCCTAGAGCCGGTCCCGTGCCCACCTCTAGAGCCGGCCGGCGGACGCCTCGGCTCAAGGTCACACAGGCAGATCGGCAGCTCTTTCAACGAGGGACGCGGCATCGTAGACAATGTCCGCAGCAGACATGTTAATTCAAATCCGGTAGGTCCCATTAACGCAAGCCGTCGTGCAGTCCCGCTGGCTTCAGAGAGCGTGCATTTGGAGCAAGGAGCGCTATCATGCCAGCGTTTGCGCCGAGCGTGGCCGGCTGCACTGAGGCACCTTGCTGAAGGGCCGGTCGCCGGGCCGGCCGGCGGCTGGAGCGTCGCTGTACTCGCGGTGTCGGTTGACCGAGCCGCTCCAGTCCATCATGAGCAGCACCTTCTCCAGCAGGTAACTGTCAGCCGAGGCCGGCCGGGGTCAGCGGCCACCGCCGTCACACAGCCGCCACCGCCGTCACACAACGGCCACCGCCGTCACACAGCGATCACCGCCGTCACACAGCCGCCACCGCCGTCACACAGCCGCCACCGCCGTCACACAGCGGCCACCGCCGTCACACAGCCGCCACCGCCGTCACACAGCCGCCACCGCCGTCACACAGCCGCCACCGCCGTCACACAGCCGCCACCGCCGTCACACAGCCGCCACCGCCGTCACACAGCGGCCACCGCCGTCACACAGCGGCCACCGCCGTCACACAGCGGCCACCGCCGTCACGAGCGGCACCGCCGTCACCAGCGCCACCGCCGTCACACAGCCGCCACCGCCGTCACACAGCCGCCACCGCCGTCACACAGCCGCCACCGCCGTCACACAGCCGCCACCGCCGTCACACAGCGGCCACCGCCGTCACACAACCGCCACCGCCGTTACACAGCGGCCGGCCGCCGTCACACAGCGGCCACCGCCGTCACACAGCAGCCGGCCGCCGTCACACAGCGGCCACCGCCGTCACACAACGGTCACCGCCGTCACACAGCGGCCACTGCCGTCACACAGCGGCCACCGCCGTCATACAGCAGCCACCGCCGTCACACAGCGGCCACCGCCGTCACACAGCGGCCGGCCGCTGCCACACAGCGCCACCGCCGTCACACAGCGGTCATCGCCGTCACACAGCGGCGGCTGCCGTCACGCACGCACTAGGCTATGCACTACTTGAAACGGGGATCAGAGAGATGAACGTGCATATCCAATCCAAGTACCTACGAGCTTTGGGAAAACAGTCTTACCCCATGCCATTGTATTGTAAAATGCGGGTAAATTCAGACGTTCGCGCCAGTCTGTGAGCTTTGGGGGCTGTCTGTTCATGCGTCGCGCGAGCCCAGGCCAAGACATGTTATCAAGGTGACGCCAGAGCGATAATGACAGCGATAGCTCCCGGCTGACTCTCGGCGGGCGCCGGAGCAACACTGGCAGCGATAGCTCCCGGCTGACTCTAGGCAGGTGTATGCAACATTCCGGGATCGAGCGCACTAGCAAACTCAATAGCAGGAGAGACGGACAAACACCACGAGCAAGCCGGCTCAATAGCGGGAGAGACGGACAAACACCACGAGCGAGCCGGCTCAACAGCATCAGGCGTCGGGCTATGGTCCAATATAAGCGCATCTGAGACAATGCGTAACGTTTAGCCTGATACCGGTCCAAATACCAAAAGAACGCAGTACTCACAACGCATCATGCTCGACGTAAGTTTTGTCCAGAAGGATCTCCAGCAGGTCGAAATCAGGGCTGAGGCAAAGAGCGCACATGGCTATTATCGCACCGTACATTCAGCCTTTCTGGCAAGCGCCAGAGTAGGCGCCTCACAACGATAGCCCACATAGAGCGGTGGACGCCAGCAACCGACTCCGCCAGCAGGACGGCGGCCTTGTGAAGCTGGTGACTGGGCCGGACCAGGCGCGGCTCATGCATGTGACACATCGAATCCCGGTGACAATGTCCGCAACCAGTCGCAGGAGGCAGCAAACGAAGACCGTAAACGATCCATCACAAAACCCGCAGCCGCGGAAGCAGACCTATTGCTAGGCCCACAAAGACGCACGGCCCCAGTTGGTGTGAGCCGCCTGGGCCCTTCTCCCTCTCGGGGCCCGTGACGTCACACGCGTGGCTGCCCGCTGCCGCGTCACTGTCACCGCCACCACCCACTGTGGGTCTCTGTGGACGTGACGTTACACCTACGACTGCCCGCTGCCGCGTCACCGCCACCGTTATCACTCACTGTGGGTCTCTGTGGACGGCCCTGATGTCGCAGAAGTTGTTGTACTCCCGCAGAAGCAGGTAGACAATGGGCGCCAGCAGCTCGTGCATCCCCTGCGGCCAACAGCCAGCCAGTGACACGGCCGCGCGTGACAGGCAGTGCCGCAGCAACTGCGTGCGACGCTTCGCCCCGCACTGGTTGGTTCAGAAATCCGTGAGTCCACGTAAAGGAAAAAGATGTGGAGCTCCCTTTCGGATGCTCCACATCTGAAGATATTGAAGCAAGCAACAGATAGGATGAAATAAGGTCACTTATAACTACTGGTATACTTTTAAGCGGAAGTCATTTTTCTTGGCCTTGATCGCCGCATGGCTAATGGAATTGCAGGATTTGAATGATATTATGGCGTCACAAATGCGTGGGTGACCAATAGTAACCGAAATACCCTCCCCGAAAGTCTGCACATATTCGCGGGCGTGTAGCTCACTATAGAGGGATTCAGGTCTTAAGAAGGGCAGGGTTGTGAACTGCACAGAATAATCTCCAGATCTGTTCAAAACCCCATACGAATGCCGAACACTCCCTTTCCACATCGGAAAAAAACGCTGAAGACATCGAGAAAAGTTATACTGGTTTCCGACATTTTTTCCAGACTTAATGCGAGTGCTCGCAAATACAAATATCGACACCTGGTTTCATAAGAGCACCGAGGCCTGGGGAGCACCAAAAGTAAAAAAATGAATTCATAACTCAGCAGCAAACCCATACAACCAAGAAGCCAGCGGCATGGACTAGACAGCATATGGCCATAGAGCCAGGTATTCCCTCACAGACAGATCATCAGGCGGTTCATCGGCCCCCGCAGGGCCTCAGGTGCTCCATTTATCGTCACAAGTCGGAAAGACCTTCCCCAATGACTAGGCGCAATTCGCGTCAACAGGCACCGGGCCCGCATTCCGCGGACTCTGCGACGGGGTCCGCGGCACAGCACGACGTGCGGCACCCAGTCAGGGCGCATGACGCGTCACTCACGCACCGGGCCCGCATTCCGCGGACTCTGCGACGGGGTCCGCGGCACAGCACGACGTGCGGCACCCAGTCAGGGCGCATGACGCGTCACTCACAGTCCCCCCCCCCCCCCCCCCTACCAACACCATCAATAGGGTCAACCTGCGACGCCACCTGGCGGCCCCATGGCGGCGAGCAAATAATGACTACGGTTGTGCCCTTTTTGGGCGTGCCGGCTACAAAGACTGGTTCATACCCAGCCTTACACCCCGTGTACGAAAGGGCGACACAAGACACTGGGCACACACCCAACTGCACGAGGAGGCGACACGAGACACTGGGCACACACCCACCTGCACGGGAAGGCGACACAATTAGACACTGGGCACCCACCCACCTGCACGAGGAGGCGACACGAGACACTGGGCGCACACCCACCTGCACGAGGAGGCGACACAAGACACTGGGTACACACCCACCTGCACATACTCCACTTCGGGGTGCTTCTGCATGAAGACGAACAGCACGTCGGTCATAAGCTGGCGGACAGCGTCCTCCCGGAAGAGCGCCACCTCGGGCATGGTGCGCACCACGTCCTGCCTGATAACGCGCCGCATTTCGGCGTGCTCGAACCAGCGACACCATGGACTCTGCGGCACGGTACAGTACGGCGTGCTCGAACCAGCGACACCACGGGCTCTTCGGCACGGTACAGTACGGCGTGCTCGATTATGTGACGAAAAATGCAGCATTTGCTCCGTAAACTGGACAGTTTTACTTGTTGTTCTTAGTCATCATGATAAGCCCGACTAGGGGGGTCACGGGTCGGCATTAGTACGCCAAATGGGGTAGCGACAGATCCTTTCGGTACCTAGTCATTCGCTGTTCTCGTTTCGTGGCTGTAGCTCTACTGGGCTTAGCGAGATACAGTCATAAGGCATACGTCGTGACCCCCCATTCTATCCACCATGTGCCAGCCGATCACTGGAGGCCAGTGATTAGTGGTTGATGCACACGAGGGTGGTGACGCAGCTGGTCGCCGAGCAGGTGATGCCCACGCGCGGCGTGCCCAGTGGTGGTTGCTGCCAGAAGCGGCCAGGTCTGGCGTGGTCCGGTTGGCTCTGACTATTGGCTGCTGAGGCTTATCACATGGCTGTTGTGGTTCAGCTGGTCGTCCAGTCTCTGTGCCGCGCAGAATTACATCGCTTGGTGGCGTCCTCTAGCCGGTACTAGCGCACCTACACAGGCAGGCAATGCAAGCCCCAGCCCCTCCACGCCAATACCGCATTAGAAGGTCATGGTGTTAATGGTAAGGTGACCCGAACTGTCATGTCTATCAACGGCATTGCTGACCACCCACAGTGGCATGCGAGATTGGGCTCTACGCTGTTTGTGGGCCCAGCCGACCGTGGCGCCGCTGGGTCCTCGGAGCAGACCGCCGGCCGAATCTGCCAGCGCGGCGGCGTGGAGCGATGCAAGACCGGGCGGCGCGCGCCCCCCGTCACTAAGCGGCGCCACCCCGGGGCGGCGTCTTCCCCTCCCTCCCACACACACACGGGCGGCGCTTCCCCTCCCTCCCTCCACACCTGCCCTGTCCCATCACTGAGCGGCGCCACCCCGGGGCGGCGGCCGGCCGGCCCAGCTCACCTGTTCGTCAACGGAGAGCGGGTTGTTGAGCCGACAGCTGATGTTCGTGTCGTTGAGGTCCGTGTAGTCGGTGTAGGTGCTCTTGGCCAGCTGGTACAGGCGGCGGTTCTCGCGCGTCAGCTCGGACCAGACGGCCGGCTCCGTCGGCAGCACATGCAGGAAGAGTCGCCAGGCCAGCGAGCGCAGCGGGCAGCCCGACAGCTGGCGCAACAGCGCCTGCTCCTGCAGCGCCGCCAACGTACCGCCGCCGCCCGCGAACAGCCGGTCCCAGTCCAGCCTGGAGGGAGGGGCACGGCCGTCAGTGCGGGACACGACGGCACGGCGGCGGACCGCCCTTCTCTGGTCACAGCCGACCGCCAGGTCAGCCTGGAGGGAGGGGCGTGGCAGTCAACGCGGGACACGACGGCGCGGCGCGCGGACCGCCCTTCTCTGGTCACAGCCGACCGCCAGGTCAGCCTGGAGGGAGGGGCGTGGCAGTCAACGCGGGACACGACGGCGCGGCGGCGGACCGCCCTTCTCTGGTCACAGCCGACCGCCAGGTCAGCCTGGAGGGAGGGGCGTGGCAGTCAACGCGGGACACGACGGCGCGGCGGCGGACCGCCCTTCTCTGGTCACAGCCGACCGCCAGGTCAGCCTGGAGGGAGGGGCGTGGCAGTCAACGCGGGACACGACGGCACGGCGGCGGACCGCCCTTCTCTGGTCACAGCCGACCGCCAGGTCAGCCTGGAGGGAGGGGCGTGGCAGTCAACGCGGGACACGACGGCGCGGCGCGCGGACCACCCATCTTTGGTCACAGCCGACCGCCAGGTCAGCACATCAGAAGCGCAGGCGTCTGGCAACCGCAGACGCCTGCGCGGCGCACACAACCAACGGAGCTTAAAGAGTTGAGGAGCTGTCCTTCAGGGCAGCCAGCACAGTGCAGACGCAGCACGGGTCGGGTGACGTCATACTGCCAATGCCGACACTGGCACGGCCCGAGGACAACTGAGCCCAACTGACCCCACACACCACACACAACACGTCAGCCTTGCATGACGGCAGCACAACATGTTAAATCATCCAAACCCCATTCACATTCAACAAGCCACTGAGCAATCTACCGACGTTCAAGACACGTCCGTCAAGAGACGACCCCCTGTGAATACGCCGTCACAAGCATTCTTAAGTTTCAGTGCACATCTAATCGTCACAGTGTTGCCAACCAATGTTGACACCTTCCTTTTGCTTGCCAAGGGGAGGACCTCGTGCTGAGCGCAGATAGCTCATGAACTAACAGCCGTGATACTGGACAGCACAGGGAAAACACAACAGCTGAGCATGCTCTGTTTCTAAGCTCATAGTATTCGGCACAACTTGGCATATTGCTCCCCTGCAAGATTCCACCCCACAAACCACTACCCTGGCAAGATTCCACTCCACGTTTCACGCACAGGTATTTGGCAGAGGCTTCTCTGGCCCACTCCGGAGGCGCTGGGTGATCCCGTCCTGCCGCCGCCATCCCCGCAGAGGCTTCTCTGGCCCACTCGTGAGGCGCTGGGTGATCCCGTCCTGCCGCCGCCATCCCCTCCGAAATGCCTCGCCTGAGGGCAACAGTCACGTGACGCATCATACCGCAAAACCCACTGTCATCCCGCTAGAGAAAATCAGGTCATACATACCAGCCTATTGCACACAGACTTCTTCTGGTCCCATTACCCAGCATGCTGAGAGGCATAAGCTCAAGTTAAAGCCTCTTTTAAATCAGCTCTTTTTCAATTGGTTTCCTTCTTCCTTTATCGAATGTTGCTAGTAAATTTCAGGCTGGAGATTAAAATGTACAATAAGCACAGGAACAAGTATACAACTGAGCTGGTGTTCTTGCTAGACTGGGGACAGTCTGTGCTTTTCACCCCACAATTACTGCAATGAATCACAAAACCCTCTTGTGTCAATGAATTGTAGGCCAAAACGTGATAACAAAATACACAAAGTTGGGCACTGAACAAGTACCATTGCTCACAAATATACAGCAAACTTTTTAAATAAATTTTTCATCCACTTTACACATGATCATTGTACTAACCACATGTGCACCAAACCCATGTTGTCATCTCCGGCTGTTGGGATATGGGACAGACAGGGTCTGTGTGGGCCCAACTTAAGGCCCAGTCCGGATTCACTGCATCTTGGAACTCGGACCCAGCTGAATCCATTCACTTCACGGATGAATCCAATGTGGACTTTGTACTTATCCCATATGGAACTGATCGGTTCTGCCCAAAGGATTTACTGATGATGGACTTTGATTCCATTCCATAGGCCTTGGATCCAGGCTTGGACTGATGTGATGCAATGATGTGACTCAAATTTTTGGCCTCAAGCTAGCAGTCAGGCTACAAAAAATGCACTGAGCTCTCATGTAAAAAACTGACCTTTCACCCACCATGAGTAACTGCTTCAATGACTATACCAGGCAAATGTTGATATCTATGTGCAATATTGATGTTAAACTGACACAGGCATACTGAAATCACACCATGAGAACTCCCAACATTTTGATGTGGAACTGTTGCCACAATTGCAAGGATGCATTCACTCAAATGAATGATGCACTTGCCACCATCAGCACTGCCTCAAAACATTGTGTCCTCATAAGGTGTATTGTCTGCTTGAAAACATGATCTAACCACCTGCTCCATGTAAGATGATGGTCAATTCTATTCAACTAAGTGCTCAAAATGCCTAAAACTCACTTCTAAAGGCATTTCTTCCCCATATCTATTCAATCACCAGGATTGCTACTAGTGGAATTACTGACAAGAATATTGAATGTCCATCAGCTATCCATTTTCCCTGTTGGCAGGCTGTTTCGCTTATGCTGGTCATGGATGACACTTATTTCTTTGACAGAGTCATGGCCTACAATGTTGAGCTGGGTACCTGTAACGCAACAACTTCAATGCACAAAGGCATTGGAGAGAAGCCCACAAAATATCATGGGTCTTCTTTTCCCTTGAAAAGTGGGTTTCAGTCTGCTTACATATGTTTTTAGTGAAGTCACACCTTGCAAAAGCTGCACACACACATGGCATGACTGTGAATGTGCCTGCACATCTCCAGGTAGCCTATGAGAAAAAGTTTCCTGTCATCACATTGTGGCAGAATACCTACATCATTGCCTCCATGCAATACCCAAGCATGGCAAAATGGGGGATGGGACACTTGCTTTGTTCAACAGATAACATGACCATTGCCAATGAGCTGGCCACATCAACATTCATGGCCCTTGATCATTCTGGGGCCATGCAAAGAACATGGTCCATGGGTGGCTGAGCAGGTAGAACAGAGAGGTATGTATGCATGCATGCTTATGCAGCTTACACAGTATTTAGACCACTCTTACAATGTTACACTGCCTGCACCATTATCACTGTAGAATAAATTGCTAACAGTGCATGATAATTTTACTTTTAAATTGCTCTAAGTACAAGTGGGTGCAAGTGCAACATCACTCTAATTAGCACCATGCAGAAAATCACATCCAGGTGAGTGTATTACATTTATGGGGAGGACAAGACAGAAATCTCCCAGAATGAACAAATCCAGTAAGAGGCCATCTTACAAACTCTGGCAACCATAACTCATATCTTTAAACAGTGAATACTACATGCCAAAATATGGCAATATAGATTGACACATATGTAATCAGGCAATATATATATATATATATATATATATATATATATATATATATATATATATAGTCCACATGGTAAACCTAGAAGTCAGCTTGCATGTCATGAAACTAAGAGACAAAGGCAAAGTCTTGATTAGGTTGTGCTCTCCTGAAAATAAAGAATTGGGTGTACCAAAATATTTCTTATACATTACCTTAAATGAGGAGAAAACTGTGATTGCAAAAGCAAATTTCTAAGTCCAATCAACAGTGAACACCTCAAACATAAGACTTTTGAGTTGTCTTCAGTCAATGCATACTTGACTATGATGCCATGTCAGTATCAATGGATGGAGCCTAACTTACACTAAACTTGTACTGCACTCTGTAAAATTAAAGATCAGGAGAGCATAAAGCAGCCCTCTATACATTTAAATAAAACTATTATATGCCCAATCCCTTCAACCTGGTTCACTGGGCCGGTTGACACGTAGGTACGCCGGCGAACTAGCTCGTTGTTGTCGGTGCCGACGACTGCAGTGGCAATGGCTAATTTGAACTTACGCGGGATGGTGGGTCAGGCAAAGCTAATCACGTAGAGGTAAACTAGGGCCACAATTGTAATATCAAACTTAATTACTTGAATAGCATAGGAATCATAAAATACAACCGCCCCAAGGAGCGGCAGCTAGCAGCCACCTTGCCTCCCCCCACTTATTCTGAGCGAGGCAATCTACGTCTATGCTGCGTGGTAAAAGTCTAAGATATGGAAACATCCTTTAGCTGCCAAATCCTTCATCCAAGCTGGTAAAGAAAGGATAGTGTGCGCCGTCGCCCCTGCGGCTATCTCCAATGTCGGAAACCCCAGGTCCGATTTTGTGAACTCTACATGTTCCAGCACACAGCACATGGCCTCCTCAGCTTCGTCGATATGGCGACCTTAAATTCACAAAGGTAGGTAGACATGGCATGAGAATCAAGCCCCTCAGATCTCAGCAGCTTTCGTTTCCGTTTTCTAAGACACTCCATTCAGCTTGTCTCGTGTAATTTGTCTGCTGATGAGAATCTGGGCAATTTAGACCACCACGATAACCTTTGAATAAACAGCTCAGGATGACAGCAAAGCCCAGGTTTGATTGGATCCAATTCCGATTCAGTCAAATTTGACAACGTCGAGTCATCGATGATTCCAACCAGTAAGGCTAACTCAGCTAAGACTCAAATAGATCTGGAAAGAAATTGACTCCGGAATCCAAGTGGGATTTACCTAATGCTATTTTTTGGAGGATGGGGCTTTCGGCAGAAAGTGTCCTTTGTCAACCCTGTGACCCACCCTCCTTTCCATGGCTCTGGCTGCGCCTCTGCACAAGGGAAATTTAGGGAATATGACTGGCATGGCGAAGTTTGCGATGCCGCGTTTCACGGTTATTCCAGCGCTTATGCTACAGCAGTCCGTCCGTCACTTCAACGCCGTTATGTGTACGCCGAATAAAATAACTACTAAATATTTTGGAAAAGATCCTATGAAATGGAAGAAATGTTAACTTGCTCTGTAGAGGTATTCCAAAAATATATTGCTCAAAGCCAGGAATCAATTTTCATAGAGTCGCTTAATGTGACAACACTTAAGGAGAAAATCATTAGTATATGATTCATGATACTAGATGGCATATATGTTATCGTGGGAATACAGCTATACACAGTCGATCATGAGAGAACCTGTGCGCAGCTATAGACGAGGCCCGTCTCGTATCTATGCATTTCTGCCGGGGGGGGGGGGGGGGGGAGAGGGGCTGAACAATTTCAGGCGTGGAGTCTGTTCATCTCAGCCGTGCGTCATCTTGAGGAGGCTCTTAACAAGCTGAGTTTGTGAACAGAAGACACATCATTAATCTGGTCATCAAGGGCAGCTATCCCATGATGAGTAGGTAGCCTTTAGGCTAATGGCCACTTGGACTTAATGAAATGCATTGTATGGTGGGTGGAGTCAGAGGTGGATCCATATTTCGCCAAATGGGGGGGGGGGCACGCAACATTGTGGGGCCGCCTGGAGCTTGGGACCCCCTCCAAAAAATCCTTGTATTTCGGTTATTGTGTTGTAAGACGAGTCATATGTAACACACATATTTGTATATATATATATATATATATATATATATATATATATTATATATATATATATGTGTGTGTGTGTGGTGTGTGTGTGTGTATGTGTGTGTGTTTCTATTCACTATAAACTATTCACTTATTTAATAAATACGGCAAGCCATCTTACTGTGCACAGTTCTATAAAACTAGGCGTGCTACGCATGCATACGCACAGGGCTGAATAAATTTCCACAGATCATGTTAAATGCTGTGATTTAAGGCTGCGTGTTTCGAAACAACAGTAAAATAAATTTAAGTTGACTGCTAACAGCCATTAAAACCAAGCATGGACTTGATTCCTAGCTTATGTATTTACGGTAAGCCGACTAAGCGACGTAATCAGCTGATGGCTGATGACTAATGCATAATTTTTCTTTTGCTTTAAAGGAGTACAATATATCCTAGCATTCAACACATGTTAAGAACGTGATGCACTAGTATAATGAGTGTGATACACTCAATAGCCTGTGGAAATGACATACGACGTCGGTGGCATGTGAAGCCACGTTCGGCAATCGCGTGTAAAAATTCATCGGCGCATATTCGACTGCTGCTCTAAGGCGAAGGCACCAAGGCCAATAGTGACGAAACCTGAGCGTCCATGGGTGCCGCAGGAGGCCAACGAAGGGCTCCCGGCAACAAGTACAGGGTCCTCGGGGCAAGCAGAAAGAACCCAAGACCAACATGGTGGGCCCCTGAACGAACAGTAGTATCCCGACAGGCTGACATAAAAGGCACCGGCCGGAGCAAGGGACCCCCGAGCAAAGGGGAATTATCCAAGATCATGAATTGATACTCCTGTGCGATCAAGAGAGCACGGGCAGGT